GCCTGGCGCCGAAAAACAAATAACGACGGCGCCAGGCAAAGACCTTTTTATTCAAACGTCATTTTAATTGCTAATATTATTTGCTTATTTTATTCTTTGGCCAGGGCGACTTATTTTATATTGTTAATTCGTTTTATATTTTTAGTGTATTATATTTTAATTGATGTTTTGTGAGCCGCCCCGAGGCTTCGGCAAATGGGGCGGCATAGAAATTTTCTAAATAAATAAATAAACGGTTCATTGTCGTCAGCAAAGGAGCAAGCCAAGATGCTGTTTCATCTCAGGTACCATGCCGGATAAGTTTGGCCACCCAGGAAGTGAATGGAGAGCTATAGCAATTTTGGAGATGCTGTCTCGGGTGGCCAGGTGTCCTCCTTTATAGAGGACGGTCCTTCCTTTGAAGGTCTCCTGCGTGCATCCAGTGCCAGGCCAGGCCAGAGATCAAGGACTGCGAGACCTGCTGACCATCCGTACTCCCGTGGACTGGGCTCCCACACGCACTCTGGTCAGCTGGTCACCGTCTTCCACAGAAGAGGGAAATGAATTGCATTTTGATTGAAACTACAACACTGATTTCTGAATTTGCATGCATCGATGAACACTTTGCTCAATGGTATGCAAATCGTGTCCCCTTTAGTTCTTCCTTTTTCGGTGACCCTTTTTCTGGCAGTTCGGAAAGGCCCACCCTGCACCGGATGCTGGAGGCCACGGCCAGTGTTGGGAGACTTGTATGGCCAAGTGTCTGCCACATTGGTCTCTTGCAACACGTGGCCAGCCGCTGAGAGCCCTGGAGGAAAAGTGGATTGGGCGCTGGACCAAGACTCGTGGGAGCTGTCTGCTAAGTTGCACTTAGCCATAAACCTCACCGGGTGACTTGGGAACCAGCCATTGACTCTCAGCAGGGCCAACCTTGCAGGGTTGTTGTGAGGACAAACCAGAGAGCAGGAGGGGGAGGGTCAAAAAAGGCACGTGGGGAGCGATGAGATCTTCCTCTGTCTTAAGGACTGCCTGCGCCCCTCTTCTGGCGAACTGGCCCGGGGGGACGTGAACGAGGCCCGGGGACTCCCTGGTCGCAGAACCCCTCGGATGAAACCACCCGGTGGGAAGGCTCCCGATGGACCTGCGAGTGCACATACGGCAGGTGCTTCCACCTGACTCGGCAGGTGCAGCCTGGATCAGACCTTGCATGCCAAGGCCCGCAGGCTTCTCCACCGCCGTCGCGGGGCACCGTCACACGGGCCGACACGCGGCATCTCGGGTGCAGCGTGGGCTGATCGGAGGCCATGCAAGTGTGGACGCGCCTTGCAGGTCGGGGTTCTTTTCATTTCACCTCCGAGTTCATCGCATCCGTGTTCCCAAACACGGGTTTTCGTCGTTTTTCACTTTGAAGGAAAAGGTGTGCGTTTTTGGCGCATGTGCCTGGGAGGTGTATTTTCCCTGCACGAAAGGGCACCTTTTAGTGGCTTAGCATGGAAAAATGCGTGGGGGGCAAGCAGGAGGCGACCAGAAAGGGTGGGCTGAGGACCTCCGTGAGGGCTATGCGAGTGGCATCCATCCGTCGCGACAGCGGGTGAAAATCAGTCGCCATCCAAGCCGCACCTTGTCTTGCGAGCTTTTCAGCAGACCCGTAAAGAGACTATTTAATTCTGCTCTTGGCCTGGAGCAGTCTCCGACCGTGCAGGTTTAATTGCATTTTTATTGCTCTTTTAAGACCATATTGGGGGTTTGTATTATGAGTCTGTGTTTTATTGCACACCACCTGGAAGGACCTGCTGCACTGCAAGGCAGCCAAGAAATACTAATTCTGCTATCCCACCTTTTTTCCTCTTCCACTTCCGCATAGTTCGCCTTCATTTTTATCCTCACTACAACAACCCTATCAGGGAGGTTGGGCTGAGAGTGAGTGACTGGCCCAAAGTCACCCGCTTAGCTTCATGGCTGGGTGGGGACTCGAACCCGGACCCTCCCGGGTCCCTGGTCCGACGTTCCAACCACCGTGCCGCACTGGGCTGTATTTTAATTCAGCTCCTCGAGGGAAAGGCTTGGCCCACTCATGAGCCCTTGACTGCTTGCTGGACATCTCGGGATGTCCGAAGATGCCCGTTCTCATTCCCGGGACCTTGTTTTCTCCCTGGCTCCCTTCATTGGCATCATTTACGCGGCAGCTCCCTAGTCTTGCGAGAGGGGATGGATGGATGGCGTGGAGAGAGGCCTCACGGCGCAGTGCCTCCGCTGCCTGTTACGGCCTCTCGCATGAATCAGCACCATCGCTGCGACCACCTTCGAAGACGCAGTCCCCTTCCGTCAGCGGCGTGCCCGGCTTTTGCCACTCTCCGGCCTCCTCCTCTTGCTGCCTCTGCTTGCGTGAGAGCCCATCTGCAGCCTAGGAGCCGGTGACGTCCAGAAAAGGCAGCTGCGGCTGCTGTCCGCCCCCCCCCCCCCCGTCACTTGGAGCGGCTCAGGAATCAATGCCACTTTGATGGCAAGAGGAACGAGGAAAGGGGTGACATGCCGCTTCGACAGCTCCCAGATAACGCCAGGCCCGGCGGCGGCTCCTCGCCTCTGCGGTTACGGCCTTTGTGCGCTCTGGCGAGGATCGCTGGGACACGTCCTGCGGCTGCGTCAGGACCTGCGTGTCGTTCGGAGAGCTCGGACTTCCTGCCTCCAGACACCTTTCCGAGCTAACCGGTCTCCTTACACCGGCCCAGTTATCCTGGATATCCGGGGCAAGATTTGTGTGCATGGCAGAGGCCCGAAGGGGAGAGGCCTAGTGGTGACTCTTCGAGCATGTTGTGGCGGGAAGTGGCAGGCAAGGCCACCGTTCGCCCTGGCCACGATTCTTCACTGCCACCACTGGGCTACTGAACTTCTCCTGGTTTCCCCATAATACGCTTGGCTTGGCTTGGCTTAAAACCTTTCTAGACCGCCCCTTAGCATGGCCCCTTCCAACTCTTCCATTCTGTGATTTATTTATTCATCCATTATTTCATTTTTATACCTCCCAAGAGCCCAAAAGTTCTCCAGGCAGTTAACAAACCCAAAAGGCAACTCAGGACTATGTTCTACTCTGTACTGGGATTTGCTTCAGACACAGAGTCGGTCTGCAGGTGCCTGGGTCTGTGTTGGCGCGTTGTGGATTTGGCACCCCAGGCAGGTTGTTGGCTCTTTTGAATGGGCGTAAGGTATAACGCTGGATCTGAGCGTGCACATGCAGGTCCCGGGGCACGTAAGGACTCGGAGAGAAGAGTGCAGGGAAACGATTTCTTGAGTGCTGCACCGTATGTTTGCAGTCAGCAAAGATAAAAATGGAACGGCGTAAAATAGAACCGGGAGCTGGGTTTCAGCACCACGGCCGCATACATTAAAATGCAACACGGTTAAAAGTCAGGTCTGTCCGGATGATGGAGAAATAGTATATCTCATGTCCCTGGAACAAATACTGAATATGAATGCTTGGCGAGGGCCGCCTGGTCTGCGGAGCAAGGAGAAGCGGGCTCTGACATTTCCAGCTGATTAAATGGAAGAGGTCAAATAACGTTCTCTCTGTCTCTTTTTTTGAGAGGAACAAGTAGTGCGGGCGAAGGGAACAACTTTTGCACGCCTTTTAAAAGTTTGGCAGCCAGGACGTTAAACATTTAAAATGGAAAAAAACTATGAGACAAAACAGCCCAGACATCAGCTCAAATCATGTTTTCTTTTGAAAATTCATTTCACTGGTGGCAAATTTCAGCATTGAATCCCTCACCTTGAGTCCTGCAGAAGGCTTGCAAATAATACAAGGAACCTCTGAACATGAAGTGTCGGCTGTGTTGAGAGAGGGGGGGAAATATGGCGATTTAGGATATAGTAGTTTTGGTGACTCCAAGTCGGACTTCCAGGTCACTAGGAACAAGATATTACCTGCCCTGTGCCCAAAGCAAATCAAAATTCTGCACTGAGAATTCTGGATGCTGAAACCTTTATAACATCTGCAAATTGAGCAAATGTTATCATTGATGCTGTTGATTATCATATTTTGCTTAGATCAGGGAAAAGGACCCCAACCTAAACCACTGGAAACTTGATTCCTGGCCCGAGTGATCTTAGCTGGCATTACCTACATATTTCCAAATATGTCTTTACAGTCAATAATGAGGACTAGAAACTTCTGGGAAGGTGGGGGTTAAAAAGCAGAAGAGGGGCTGAGAACTTCCCAGTTCTTAGATATTGTATACTTTTCCTTGGATTCCATAATCTGGGTTTGCCTGTGAACTGGATTTTGTAACTGAAGCGTTCCACGCAGGCAGCATCCGTCTTTGCAAGTGGCAGTGAAAAGGCATCAGCCACCGGCCTTTTCTTGCCTGCATGACAGATAGAAGGCTCTGCTCTCCTGTGACTCAGTTGCCTGGTTCGGATCCATTCCTGGTGTTTTGCTTGGCCCACCCAGTTCCCCCCACTCACACCTCTTGCCTGGAACCCCGTTTAGAGCAGCATGGGGACGCAGGCCTTCTGCTTCTTAAAACTGAATCTGCAGCTGCAAAGTATGTATGTACCAGCATATGTATGTACCAGTAGTTCCCATCTGCAGTCGGCTTGGAGAATTGCAAAGCCATCCTGCACGCGCCGATTCCCAGATTTGACGCCTTATATGGCAGATGGCATGTTTGACCCATGGCCACTTTGGGCCTCGGGGCTCCCCCAAGGCAGGGAGACGAGGGGCGCTGCACCCCCCAGCCCCATGCTTCCAGACCTCTGGGGATGCCCCGCAGGCAGGCACGGCGCTCGGCAGACGGGCTGCCGGTTCCGTCCTGCTTCTCCTCCGTTCTAAAAGGGCCTCCTCATGATGACGCTCCAGGGAAAACCTCTCCGAGCTACTTCCACCGCCAGCTGTGTTTGTCTCTGACGCCTTTTACTTTCGTGTGTCCGAGCAGGTAGGAAGATGGGAGCACAAGACCCGCTCGCTCACGCACGTCTTCCGCTCTCCCTACATGGCCTGCTACTGCCTGGGCGCCGTCATCGTGACCCTTAATTTTCTGCGGAGCCACTGGTAAGTGCCCCCTCCGCAGGCGCTTGGTCTGCAGGGGAAGCCAGGGTGCCCGATGGGGCTCCGCTGGGGCAGACGGAGCCGAGGAAGCCCTCCCGGAGGCGAGCCGTCCCACTGCCAAACCGTCCCGACCAGGAAGTGCAGCCCAGATCGGCTCCCTGCAATTTGCACCTGCCGGCCTCGGCTCTAAAACAGAGGCCAAGTTGATTCAGACTTCGGCATGGCAGTCCTTAGATGGCTCCAGGCTCGACCGTGGCTGGCGGACCTTGCCTCGGCCCCGGAAGCGAGAGTGCCTCGCACCGCCGCCAAAGGGAGCAGGGGAGCCTGCAGCCGCAGCCCTCCCACCTGAGACAAGCGCCTCACTCTCCCAATGGCAGGGCCGGCCCCGCATGCTGAACTCTTTCAGCGGTCCCTCCCACGGCTTGCTTTCCACTGGCCTGGCTGCTTTCAGCTGGACAGCTTCCAGGTAGTCAATGTCCTCCTTTCATGGTGGCACCCAGCACCTACCTACCTACCTTGATTTTGGGAGGGACACCTGGCCACTCTCCAACAGGTCCACACCTCTTTCAAAAAGAGGGGAAGCTGTTCGAGCTCGATATGACATGCTTAAAATGATGACGACGACGACAATAGGAATGTCAACAATAACGATTATTTTTATCGTGGTTGTGTCGATAATTCATTGTTTTGTCTTACTTGCTAGTTTCTTTTTCTTTTGGATTTGTCTGCTCTGGAATGCTGTTTCCTTAGAAAGGGCATCTTCCCCAGGTGGGGTCCCCGAGGTGGCGGTCAGGTCCTCCGCCCCTCCCTTTTCAGCATGAAGCGAGTCACAGAAGTCTCTGTTTGCTGAACTGTCTGGCATCGCCTGTGCGCCCAGCTTGGGTCGCTTCAGCGCTTATCTCTGATGTGACAGATCAGCTGTCCCCTCCCTGCCCCTCCCTGGCTGCCAGTAATCTTGCATGAATGATGCTGGGCAGGAATGATGTGTCCTCAAATATGCCCAGTGGAGTGGAGGGAACTTAAGCAGGGAGTGGTGGCTTTTAATGGCTTTCTTTGCATGCTCAGTGCTCCCAAGAGCCGCTCGCTCTGCGGCTGCTGGGGCTTCTGCAGCGGCTGATGCACAAGGCGGAGCCGGGGCAGGTGGAGAGTGTTGGCTGGCTGGGTCTAACCACCCCTGCCCGAAGCCCCAAGTACCCGCGGGACTGCAAGCTCGCTGCTTCCCAGCTCCTGGCCTTTAAAGTGGCGAAGGAGGGAAGGACAAGCTGAGATTACACCTGCCCAAACCTCAGAAGGCAGGTAAAGAGGTGAGTCCCACCTCCTGGGCCAGGGGGTGAGGTTCCGTCCGCTCCATCGTGCCTTGACTCTCTTCCACAGACGGCAAAATGAGAGTAACTTGTGCAGAGATACGTAGAGAAATTCTATTAGAATTTCATTTTCTCTGGATGCAGAAAAGTGGGTGTATAGACACAGGCATCTGGATTATACGCTTTTAGCTGTGCTTGATGGCAGGGCTGAGTCCCAGAGCCCCTTCGACTGGGGTGTCTAAGCAGCCGAAATCAAGCCCTACAATGGTTGCCCCATCCCCAGGCTCTTGGCAATTGCCCTGCTCTTTCCTGGCCGTGCCGAGCCCTTCGGAAGGGCCTCCGGGGAGCCACATCTGCAACCCCTGTCTTACAAAGTTGGTGAATCCAACAATGCCCCCCCCCCCCGGGAGTCCGTCAGCCGAACTCCCCAACCCGTGACTTGCCTTGGGGAAAATCAGCCAAAGCCCTGCTGGTTCCCAAGAGAATCCGGATGTGCCAAACTGTCAAAACTCAGTCCTGCCACTGACTCTCTTTGCAACGGAGGGAGCAGCTGCGGCTGTTTTGACCTTTCATTGAAGACGAGCATCTCAGAGACAAGGCTGCAATTGGATCATGCTAGATTTAAAGCAATTGTGAATCCAGGGCCTGCTAGGCTCACGCAACCCGAGATAAGTGAGCTTGCATTCTGCAGGGGGGGGGGGGTCTCACGGGGCTGTTTTGCAGTGGGAGATCTCATAGGTCTCACTTCAGGACGTTCTAGAAATCTGCGCGCCTGTCGCCTGAGATAAACGGGACCTGGGAATAAAAGGAGAAATGCTCTGGGTTTTTGACCACCCGTTGAGGAACTCCGTAGCTTCCCGCAAAGGGCCACGTGCATCAGGGAAGAAGGCAGGAAGCAAATCAGGCTTGCCTCTGCTAGGAACTGTCCTCTTTGACACGCCTTGAAGGCACAAACGGGGAAGCAGTAACCTGCTTTAGACCAGGTTCTCCCGCCTGCGGGTACCCAAGGACTCCATCCCACCTGGGCGCTGACAGCCGTAACATAGTCCCTCCTCTTGTGCCAATTTCTTCCCAGTCTTCCCAGCCCCACCATCACCATCACATCAGGCCACTGGCGTGTTTGTCTGCAGCCTTTGGCTTCCCTTTTCTTATCTTTTGGGCACCAGGCAGGGCATCCAGCTCGTTTCCTGGGGCTTGTTAGTTGCTAAATAGGCCTTGAGTCGTGTTTTTCCTCTCTTTTAAGTTACTGTAATTTTGTGTCTGTTTTAAATTTGGTTCAGATTTTTGTATTGTAGCTTTTCGGATGCTTTAAACATGGTGTGTTTTCTATATTTTTAATATGTCCTGTTGTAAAGTACCCAGAGGGCCTTGCCTATTGGGAGGAATAGAAATTTATTATTTCCGAGGGTCCCAAATTTATTCACCAGAACCTAAGTGGTCATTGGAGACGGGGTGGGGGGGGGAGGCAGCAGGGTGTGGTGTGGCTTAATTTCCATGCAGAGAGAGCAATTTGAGGGAGGGGGGTCTCAGGAGAGGAAAGGTTTAATCCCCCCCCCCCCCCCCAGCACTGCAGCACACACACAAAGAGCATCTGTGCATGGCAATTCAGCTTACGAAAAAACCCGTTTCCATCAGTTTGGGATAATTCGAGGAAGCTGTATGCTATTTGAAGAATGCTTAATTGGATGAAAATTCATTGACTGGCATCGCTTCTGCAATGTGAATAAATTCTCCTCCTCCTCGCACGTAAAAAGGATGTGTGCACCATTCATGCAGATCGAAAGCACATGGGCCTGGATTTGGCCCCGTGCTCTGCCTATGAGCTTGCTGGTGTGAAGCAGGCATGGAGTTCGTGTCCAACCTGGTCGAACTCTTCTAGGATTTGAACAGCAGAAGCCATCAAATAATTTCTCGAGCTTCATTTTGAGTGATGCTTCAGCCCCAGTGTGTGACACATTTTGGTGCCCTTTTGAGTCTGAGAGGCACGTACGGAACGCGCGGCTAAGCAAGGAAAAATGCTGCCAAAACGTAAGCACTAGAAGTCCGAGGTGGGGCCCGCTCTGCTAATGCGCACGATAATCGGAGCGCTGGTGACGTCAGGGGAGCAAGGCCGCGTGCTGTGTCACTTCTGTCCCTTTTATGTTCTGACTCACCGGATGCTTCTCCACCAGAAGTGCGTCCTGTTGCCCGATTGAGCTGAATGAAGCCAGACTGGGCATTAAGGAGCCTCACGCCTTGATGCCGTCCGCTGCTGCTCCCCCCGAAATCTTGCTCACTTTGGTGAGCTGAGTGGCTCTTAGTGATTACCTTGTTTCTCTTTCTACCTTGAGGAGTTTCTGCCCAGGTGTGGCATAATATGAGCGCTCTGGATCTTCTCTGGCCTAGAATGAATGAGGCCAGTGTTTTCTAAGACTGTGACTGACGGTCTGGAGCGGACATAGCCACCTCCGTGCTAAAGAGAACAGGCCTGGAGGAAGGGCCCCCTTTGCGGGGGACAGGGTTCAAAGCATCCCAGAAGCCGCAAAGATGGGAGCACCCGAGCTGCCTGTAGAAACCCCCAGGCTCAGCCCCTACTCTGTCCAGGTTTATTTCTTTATTTAAAGTCGTGTTATGCCACTGCTCAGCCAGAAGGACTCCCTGAGATGGTTTGCATTGGTTGGGGTTCTTGGGGTCAGGCTAGATGGCCTTTTAGGGATCCCTTGTCTCTGGTTGCAAAGTGATTTGGGATTCCCCCTTTCCCCCTCATTCTGTAGCTCTTGAATGGCTTCCAGCAGGCCTGAGGAGTGGCAAGAGGCAGGCCAGAGAAAGTTTGAATGGTGGTGGTGGAGGAGAAGGAGGAGACTTGGTATCTCTGGAGAAGAAAACTCCAGGCACTATCAGTCCGCCCATCTGCTAGCCCAGGTTCCTGCTGGTCCGTTATTCTCCTCTGCCTCTTCAGCTCTGCAGAGCTTTGCCTTCGTGTGCTACTGGGTTCTTTCTCTTGTCTGGAGGTCTTGGGGATTCATCCTGACGCCTTCCACGAGCAAAGCTCAGAGGCCCATGTGCTAAACCAGAGGTGCAGAACCACAGATCTGCGGGCCAGATTGGGCCTGCCTCGTGGTCCCAGGCTTTTCCAGGTGGCCCCACCCCTTTCCCCGTCCACCGTCCCCTCGCTCCCATTCTGAAAAGGCGGAATGGCTTCTCCTGAGGCTTGCTGGCTGGTGGGGAGAGCTGGGACGAAAATCAATTGGAATTTGGCGGCTTCTTCTTATGCTTTCGGCTGCTCAGCCTGCAGCCCACCCACCGCCAGGCTGCGGCCCCCAAAACTTCCAAACCTGACTGTTTCTTGCTGGCTTCTCCCTTTAGCTCCCCGGCCCTAAAGCGATCCTACAACTGCAGGAAACTGCGGCATTCGGGATCAAACCAGGGCCAGAGCTGTTGGTTCCGGGAAGAGACTCTGCGGACTCCTGCATGCGAAGCAAAGTTCTAATAAGCCCATTTAAGGGCTCCCGTTCGGTGTCTTTCACTCGGCGGGAGGAACTGCAGGGTCAACAAGCGCCCGACGCGACACTGTGTGTTGGCCGGTTGGACTTCTCGGGTTTACGAAACAATATCGATCGCTGCTCCTCTGATCAGAGGCAACAGGCTGGTCGCTGTGGGAACAGCAGCAGGAGGGGCTCCCCCCCCCCCCATGTCCTACTTTTGCCTGCGAGCAAGATG